CAGTAACTTGGAGTCAGGTACCCCCCGCCGAAGCTTGCCGCGTCGGGCGCCGCCGAGGGCGCGCGCCTCCTCCGGGCCGCCTTCGCGGCTGCGCGCTGCCGTCCGCCCGCCCTGCTCCTCCTCAGCGAGCTGGATGCGCTGCTCCCGGTCCGGGACGACGGTGCGGCTGCCGCAGGCGCGCTGCAGGCCTCGCTCCTGGCCTGCCTGGACTGCAGCTGCGGCGCGGGGCCCGACGGCGTGCTGGTCGTGGGAACCACCTCGCGGCCCGCGGCTCTGGACGAGGCGACCCGCCGGCGCTTCGCTCTCCGCTTCTACGTGGCGTTGCCCGACAGTCCGGCCCGCGGGCAGATCCTGCAGCGGGCGCTGGCCCAGCAGGGCTGTGCGCTGAGCGAGCTGGAGCTGGCGGCCCTGGTGCAGGGCACCCAGGGCTTCTCTGGGGGCGAACTGGGACAGCTGTGCCAGCAGGCAGCGGCCGGGGCGGGCCTCCCGGGCCTGCAGCGTCCCCTCTCCTACAAGGACTTGGAGGCGGCGCTAGCCAAGGTGGGCCCTAGGGCCTCCCCTAAGGAGCTGGACTCGTTCGTGGAGTGGGACAAAATGTACGGCTCTGAACACTGATGGCGCGCGGAGGAGGTCGCGGGAGCCACCGCCTCTCCTTGCGCGCCTCCTCCGCTTGGGAGCGATGTCACTGAACAAACCCGGCTGGGAGGGTGCCGGAGTGGTGAATGTGGGGTGGGGGACGGGAGGGCTCTGCGGGTTTTTTTTTTTTTTGTGGGAAGGAAAATGCTTCCGCCAGGCAGATAGATGCCATATGCGCCGTATACTCAGGTTTTACCTATTTATTGTGGACGGGAAGCTCGCCATCTCCGCCCGACGAACCCTCGTGGGCTGGCACCCCGGACTAAATAACTCCTGTTGTCTCGCCACAAACCCTTTTGTCTCCTCGCTATCTGAATGACACCCTCTTCCACCCCCCCTCCTTTCTCTGCATTCGCTGAGTTTTCGCTCCCCGTCGCTTTGTCACTGACTCCCCGTGTTGTCTCGCCACAAACCCTTTTGTCTCCTCGCTATCTGAATGACACCCTCTTCCACCCCCGCTCCTTTCTCTGCATTCGCTGAGTTTTCGCTCCCCGTCGCTTTGTCACTGACTCCCCGCCCCCCCCCATCATGCCTGCCCTGTTTCTCCTTTGCTCTCCGCTCCCCGCATCTCTCCATCTATCACCTTCTGTGGTTCTGTCTCTATCCCCTGTGCTCCGGCGTCCCTTCGCCTCTTGGTCCCTGTACTTCAACGCGTCTCCCTGCTTTCTGTACCTCTCATTCAGACTGCAGCGTCTCTTTGCAGGAGATCTGGAGGCCCAGTGGCCGAGGAGGAGGGGAGTAGCGAATCCCCCATCCCACGCCACTGTGTCTCACCCAGCTGAAGCCTTGGGTCGGGGGTGGGGGTGGGGTATCAAGCAAAAAAAAAAAAAAAAAAAAAAAACACCCGAAGAAGGGGTTTTGGGGGGTTTGTTTTTGAGGGGAAATCCCAGAAATGTAGCTTGTTTAATATTTTAGGCTTCTTATTTTTGTAAGATGTGTAGGGTTTGCTGTTTTTCTTTTGACAACTCAGGAAGAAACTGACCTCAGAAAGAATGTTAGACTTTGGCTGCTCTCCTCTATGTCCCCCCCACCCTTCCCCCAACCTACCCCCACCCAGGGGAGCAAATTCTCCCAAAGCCTTGGAAAGTGGGACTTGGGAAGGGAAGAGGAAGATGCAGAAGCCCCACTCAAACCCCAGCTCTCCCTGGGACAGAAGCAGAATGTATCACTAAGGGCTTCCTTCTCAGATCCGGGGTTGTAGGCAGGGGGTGGGAGTGGGGGGTGGGCTTTGAGAGAGGGGGAGGTCTTGCTCCCTTCTGCTGCTCTCCCCGCTGGACCTCACACTTCAGTGTAGTGTTTTCTATGAAGCGTTATCCTGAGTTGGGATGCCTTTGCCCACCCTGTTTCCTGCCCCAGACCCAGAAAGTAGGCCAGGTCGGCCCAAATAGGAATGTGACCCAGGCAGAAAGTTCCCAGAGAAGTCCCAATAACGTGCTAAGAGGATTCCATCTGGGGAGGCAGCTTGGCCGTAAGTCTGGTTGGGCACAAAATTGACTACTAGACTTTAGCTGCCTTCTCTACTGGAGGCTCTAAGGAGGTGTGAGCATCCCACACAGGAGAAAGTTCTGTGGGGAAGCGTGCTTCTCCCATTCCCTTAGAGTCCTAGGTCTGGAGCTCCAGGGGCTGGGAGAGGGTGGAGATGGCCAGGGTGTTTTTCCCTAACATTGGGAATTTGGTCTCAGTCTCACCCAAACTTTCCACCAGGCTTGAAACCCTTCTCTCTGAGAACCATATTCCTCTCCTTCCCACCAGTTTTCCCTTGATGAGGCTTCAGCAGTTTGCTCCACCCCATCCCCAGTCCATTTTACAACTCCGATCTTTGGTCCGAAGGTGGGGGACATGCTCCCTTCCTCCTCTTCTCTCTTCCACCTCAGCCTCCCTTCCTGTTCCCTGCCTGCCCCTATAGATCTTACAGTCCATACAACCTCCTATCCCTGGCGGGGAGGGTGTCCATGGGGGACATTCAGGTGCCAAGGTGCTGAAGGCCTGTGCTGGCCTAGGAGTGCTAACAGGAAAGCTGCTCTGTTTTTTCCCCCTTTTCCGCTTTGGTCTCTTTCTGACCCTCCTCTCCTTGGAGCCAGCAGGGCTTTGGTGCCTCAGCAGTGGGCCGCATGGTCTTGGCTGTGAAAGACCTTGGAGGGAGCATGGAGTGAGGGGGTTCTCTCAGGTGTGTGTATGTATGGGGGATGGGGGGTGGGGGGGTGTTAGGGAAGTGGGGTTGGGATCCCAGCCTTCCCTTCAAGAGGCAGGCAGCTTTGGGGAATGGGCAGGAGGTCACTGACTGAGACCCTGAGTCCCTGAGTCCCCACTGCTTCCTCTACTGGGCTTTTCCTGTTCCCCAGGCTTGGGGAACTTTGCACAAGGAGACAGCCCCCAGTCTACTGGCACCTACCTCATGGGCACTGGGGCGGGTAGGGGAAGGGCAGGTCTAGCTCTGGCAATGTTGAGGAGGGCACACCAAAGAATCCAGGGGCAGGGCGTGGGGAAGGGCAGACTGGGCAAGCTGGCCTTCTCTTTCCTCTACCCAGATTGTGATTGGGATCCTCTCCTTCAGTTGTAACCATTTCTACCTCATTTTGCTGTGTGTTGTACATGGACGTATTTATCTCCTGTCTGACGATGCTCTGCAGTTGTGGTCTGTCTACCTCAGAAAAGACTGTATTTTAAAAGAAAATATTACACAGTATTAAAGCAATGACATGGTTTCCAGAGGATTTCTTGGGGGCAGTGGGATGCAGGGAGCTAACTCAGAAATGCATGGGCATTCAGGTCTGCCAGTGCCCTGGGTGTGGTTCTGTGGGTGTTTCTATTCCTTTAGCAAAAAGTTATCATGGGACCCCTGTTATTCACTCTGGCATAGTGAGTGAATAACTAGATACTCGGTATTGAGGCTACAGGGTGAAAAGCCCCTGGATAGAGGGGCCCTCCTGCAATTCAGAGCTCTCAGAGACTCAGAACTGGGGCTGACTCATTGTATCCCCAGACCCCCAAAATATGAGGGCAAAGGGCTCACATGTTCGTTGAATAAGTGAATGAATGAACACATGCATGGAGCAAAGGGGGCTGGAGAGAAGGAGGGTTCTGCAGAGCCTGCAGTAGCTATTGTTGAGTAGAACTAGGGTTGAACTTGTATTTTGTTCTGGGGTGGAGGGAACGTGGGCAGAGGGCAGGGTGTGGGGACAGGCTTTCCGGTCACCCCACCCCACTATCTATCAGTCCCCAAACTCTGTCTTTGACAGCTCATCATAAACTGGGAGACTGAAAAAACTAGGAAGGAACATTTGCTGAAAAAGCTCTGTGGAGATGCCTGTGAGAGGTTTGGACCCACAACTTCCTAAGGTCCTTGAATGGTCTAAGCAAACATTTTGAAAATTCATGAGAGCTCAGGGGAAGCAGTGCACCCAGGCTCCCTGCTTAGGACTTACCACAGGCTTACAGGAGGCAAAGCAAGCACCAGGGAAACCCCACCAAAGCAAACAGCTGCCCGTCAAAGAGAGAAACGTACCTGGACCTGAGGACTGTAGGGCATTGCCCTAGGGTTTAGTGACCCTAACTCTCTTGGCCCTTTGAGGTCCAGACCTTCCCCTTCCTCTAGTTTATTATGTACCTACTGTGCAGACATTGTGCATGGCACTGAGGATACTACAGGAATTGCCAAGCACAGCTGATGTTCCTGGAGAGCCTACAATCCAGGTGGGAAAAGCTCAAAAATAGATAATTTAAAAATACAACTGGATAAAGCTGCTTGGAGGGGGGTATGGCATATAAAATTAATATTCTCACATCTGGCACAATTATCTGGTACATAGAAGACACTGAATAAATGTTTAATATATCCTCTAATTAATTTCTGGATAAGGCCCTGATTGAGGTTGCAAGGATTATCTCAAGAATGCCCAGAAAATGGGCTGGCTGGTTAGCTCAGTTGGTTAGAGTGTGATGCTGATAACGCCAAGGTTCAGGGCTTGATCCCTGTACTGGCCAGCTGCCAAAAAAAAAGGCCCAGAAAAGATCCTGACTCAGGGGTGGGGTGGGATGTGGGAGAAACTTCCTAGCCAAGAGGGGGTACAGCTGGGCAAAGCATGGAAGCTGGAAAATGCATCACACATGTGGGGCTGTGCCACCAGCAGTGATTTTGTTACAAGAGCATAAGGTGAGGGCAGCAATGGGGAGAAGTGAGGTTGGAAGAGTTAGCTGAGATCTTGCCATGAGGACCTTCTCTGCCTTGTTAAGAGCTGGGGTCCACAATAAGCTGCTGTTCTGCGGGGGGGGTGGGTAGTGGCTGTGGGCAGGGACTGATTTGCAAGTTAAGAATTTGCACACTGATTCAACACATCTTTACTGAACACCTATTATTCACTAGTTGCTATGGGGACAATGGATAGACCTGACAGTCTGATGGGTAAGACAGTGAAAAGGCAGAGCTGCAGTGTGCTGTGGGGCCAATAGGAGTGGTACCTAATAGAGATGTGGCTAAGGGTATGTGTGGGAATCACGGCTTTCCAGAAGCCACCTGACAGCAGAAGGAGTAAGCAAAGCAGCCAGAGTGCAGGCCAAGAGCCAAGTCAGGGCCGGCCCTGTGGCTCACTCGGGAGAGTGCGGTGCTGCTGGCGTTGAGGCAACGGGTTCGGATCCTATATAGGGATGGCCGGTGCACTCACTGGCTGAGCATGGTGCAGACCACACTGTGCAGAGGGTTGCGATCCCTTTACTGGTCAAAAAAAAAAAAAAAAAAGAGCCAAGTCAGAGCCAAGCTTCCTTGAGGGAAATGAAACAAGTCTGGGTAAGTGGGGTCTCTGCTGGGGGGGGAGGGGGAACTGGAGGTTTTGCTCACCTCATCCAGACAAGAGAGGATGAGAGTTCCGATTGGCGCAGGTGTGGAAGAATGGGATATGGTGGGTCATTTACTAAACAGGTAACAAGAGAATTTAGGAGTTGGTTGGATATTGGGTATGATGGAGAGCAAGGGGTCTAGGGCTTTTGGGGGAGGGTCAGGGGGTCGTGAATGAATCAGAAGAGATGTTGGGGACTTGCAAA